GGGAGAGAGAGAGGAGAGAGAGAGAGAGAGAGATGTATTTGCAAGGTTTCGTGACAACTCTTCTGAGCTGGATGCTTCCTTCTACTTTTCCATGGGTTCAGGGGAATCTGGGCCACCAGGCATATAAGGCAGGGATTTTACACATCCAACCGATCTTACAGTAAACATCTGCACCTGAATTAGAGCACGACAGTGAAAGAGACACAGCAAAGCAAGGGGACTCGAGCGGCTCCACCCACAGCTTTGCAGTGGCTGTCATTTCTACTCCATTTGAGTGTGAAACACTGGAACAAAGCAAACATGGATGACTGTTATTTTTACTTGAAAAGTAAAAAATTTAGTTCATGGATGAAATATTTTGATGAATTTGAGTTGAGCATTGGTCTCCAACCAAAAGAAACAAATTTAAAAAAAAATTTAAGGTCAAAACCCTAAAGTTACAAAAAAAAGCAATTAATTGCAGCAACCACAAAACATACTAAAGAGGGCATTATAGGGTGATGAAGAACTCCAGAGGATGAGAAAGACTCCGGTCTTACATGGACTGAAACAATCGGCTAACTCTCAAGAACTTTATTCTCAGCAAGAGCTAAACTTTCCTTAATAAGCAGGAAAGTAATACCCAACAGCTTTATTTTTTGTCTAACTTTTGGAGAAAATACAAATTTTAGAATTTTAGAAAATGAAAAAAAAAACTAGATATAGATGTATATATACACTTGGTGAATTGACTTCCTCCACAAAGGCATTCTAAGTCTACAAGAACCAGATCTGGTGAAAACATGTGAAGACCTGGGCAGTACTTTAACTTCTGGAACTTAGTGCACAAGAGAGGGTATTATGACTCTCTACCAAATCTACCATTACTTTGAAAGCCTTGGCTGTGTCTCTCATAGCCAAGACACTTTTGAAATGAAAATGAAGGAAACCCTTTGGACTACCTATGAGTGGAGATGAGCAGGCAGAGATGCATCTGTGAATGTGCAGCAGAGATGAAGTGGACAGGCTCTCAGGTGGGTAGAAGGTGATACTCAAAAGCAAGAAAGGTAATCATGTGAGTCTTTCCTGTAGCAAAGTGGCAGGGTTTCTGCTGCCTCTCCATTTACCATGCAGGTGACTTTCGTGCACTGCACATTTCTGTTTGCATGTAGTTCTCCATAGTTTGCCTCATGCCTGAAATATTCTTCTAAAACTGTGGTTGACTGGATCTCTGCTGGGAGTACTTTCTGATAGGACAGGACTGCTCCATCAGTCTGACCACACTGAAATGCTCCGGAGCATGGACATGGTGTTCATGTTTGCCATGTGTCATCCTGGGAGGGAAGGCTTCTTTGCAAATTTTTGTGCCAGCTAAAAGCATCCAGGCTCATGTCTCCCTAGGGTCATGCCCATATTCCTACCAAGGGGATGGCTTGGAGGTGCAGCAAAGTTTCTTGTATAATACTCAGTGACACTTGCTACCACTGGGAACTTTGTTCCTGCAAATATGAGATCTGATGTCATTTCTAAGTCCTAATAAATTCAAACATCTTTTCACTTTTCTTTCTGTGAACTCAGTGTTTAATGCCCGTGTATTTCACTGCTTTTCCATGTCCTCTAACAACACTGAGAGTCTCAATACTGTGTAAGTCATTAGGTGTAAATTTGATGGTAATTATGTTTACCGACAGCTATTAACACCCCCAAATGAGAACAATGTATTTTAATTGTATATTACCAAAAAGCTGGTCATTTTGAAATCACTTGCATAGATGCTTGCTATTAGGTTTTGTATAAATCTTTGTATTTACAGTGATTTATGCTGCAATCTACTGTTAAGAAAGAATACTGAGAAATAATATTGTAGTTTTTCAGTGACACAGAATTACTGTTTTAGGACACAAAAATAATTCAACCACAAAAAATAAATTTAAAAATACATTAGTATTTGTGAAAAACAGCTTTATTGTGTAGATCAGTATTCACGAACACCAAACCCCTTGTTGAATTCCTTTTCTTCTTAAATCCCCCCTCTTTTTGTGGAGGAAGCCACTCATCAGCACTTCCTTCTCCAGAATGCACTAGCTCACTTCTGCTTCAAAGGGCAAGACTCTCATCCTGAAATCTCCTGTTTGGGTTCTCTGGGGCCTGAAAAAAAATCACATTAACCCTAATCCCTCCAAACCATCTCTTCTATCTCCATGTCTCCGGTCTCCCTCCTTCCCTCTTCCTGCCTCTGTGTTTTTGTATAGTATAGTTTTTAATGACCTCATACTTTTGTCTTTACCTTCTCATCTATCCCGCCAAAACACAGCTCCAAGAAACCAGGATGACGAACATAACTTTTATGGCTGTAACAATTCACTTTTTGTAGTTTGTGCTACAGACACAAGTTTCTAAGTTGAAGGTGGTTTTTTTGGTGCCACTAATTGATGGGGTTGAGAATTACAGACTGCATGTGTTCTGTTTATGGCAACAAGTGTGTGGAAATAGTCGGTCACAAGCAATAGCCTGCCTGGCGTCTCAGAGGGCTTACTAGGCAACAGTGACACCTTTCTTTTCCCCTCTTACTCTTTAAAGGGAGTTGTAGTAAAGCAAGAATGTTATGATCCAATCGTGTTCCCTTGCTCAGTTATCAATTCTATTACTTAGAACTGACATCTGGAGCTATTCGAATTACAACTCAAGAGGTGCTTTACATTTTTTCACTTTGCTGAAAAAAGAAATCAATTCCCCAAAGTCCATAAAATGTTCGTTTGTTTTTAAATTTCACTGTTTCTGTCGTCTGTTGTCTTAAGCCAAGTGCTCTTGGGGCCTGCATTGCTCACCAGACCCGGCACAGAAGATTCTCATTCCCTTTTCATTTAGTTTCGATTTTGCTTCTCTTTTCCCCCCATAGTTTTCCGATGTCCAGATAATGTTCTTCAGTGAAGCAGGAGTTTCATGCTTTCATTTGCTCACCTTTAAGCAGTTGGGACACCAGTGACACTGCCGGCCGCTTGCTGGGGAGTCTCTTTCATTTGGTGGGCTTGCAGCACAGTTAGAGCTTCATCAACTTTGGCGTGGAGACACTCCGGAGAGTCAAGCATGTGGCGTAGTTCTAAATTATCAATCTCCAACAGCATGCCAGTGATTTTACCAGCTAGAGCAGGGTGCATGGCTTGTATGAGAGAAAACAGCCATTCCCCCAGCATTTGCTTTTGCGCTTGAGGAGAAGCCGACGCCAGCATGGAGGCAGTCAAAGATGCTTTGTTACCTTGGACAGGAACAGCAGACCGCTGCATGGTGACTTGGGGCTGTGTGTTAAGATGCTGAGGGGGATTGCGGACTCCAGAGGTATATTTATACTGGGGAACTGTGCGGGCAGCAGGAGCAGCTGCCACAGAAGCAGTGGCGGGATGTGGGCCCGTCATCTGCGTGGAAGTGTTGGCTGCACGATGTGTTGGCATACTCCGTAGAGCCTGTGAGGAAGCTGGTCCCGAACTACCAAATGATGGAACAGTAGATGGGTGGATGGCACTAGACATATTTTGGAACGAATGAGCTCTGGCACCCTGAGCACTCCCACGGGGACTCGGTCCCTGCTGCGTAGTTTGGTTAGGAGCAGAGTATGCTCCACGGTTCTGAGTCTGTGGTGTTGCTGTCATGAAGTAACCTGAAGGAGCCTGGGCTGGCTGGAAAGGGTTGATGACCGGGTTGGCGCTTGCCATTCTCTGCATGTACTGGTTACTGAGGTGAGCCTGCCGCTCCTCTTTGCGTTGAGCTAGAGCTACATAGAGTGGTTTGGTGGCCACAATCCTACCATTCATTTCGGTAACTGCTTTAGTGGCTTCTTCCGGAGAGGAGAAACATACAAAGCCAAACCCTTTGCTGCGACCCCCCTCCATGGTAACCTTGGCGCTAGTGATAGTACCAAACGGAGAAAACTCCTTCCGGAGACGCTCGTCGTCAATGCCATCATCAAGGTTTTTCACATAAAGATTAACACCTTGGCATCTGATGCTTCTGTCTTGGGGTGGTACCTGCTCAACTTTGCGCTTATCTTGCTTCATCTGTCCGAACTTGTGCTTCAGTTCGGTCTGTCGTTCCACTTTTTTCTGAGCTCGACCAACATAAATCTGTTTTCCATTGAGGTCTTTCCCGTTCATCTCATCCACGGCCTTCCGTGCATCTTCATGCCTTTCAAAGCTTACAAATCCAAACCCTTTGGATTTTCCACTGTCATCAGTCATGACTTTAACACTCAAGGCAGGCCCAAACTTGCCAAAGAGACCCTGGAGTCTCTCATCATCCATGTCTTCTCCCAAATTCTTGATGTAAACATTGGTAAACTCTCTAGCCCTGGCTCCAAGTTCAGCCTGCCTGTCCCGGCGAGACTTAAATCGCCTCACAAATACTTTGCGATCATTTAGGAACATCCCGTTCATTTTCTCAATTGCTCGTTCAGCTTCTTCCTGGGTCTCGAAGTGTACAAACCCATAACCCTTGGAGCCGTTCTCATCACAGACCACCTTACACGAGAGGATGTTCCCGAAGGCAGAAAACGTATCATACAGCGCTTTGCTGTCAATGGACCTGTCCAGATTTTTGACGAAGATGTTGCCTACGCCACTTTTGCGCAGCGACGGGTCCCGCTGAGACCACATGATGCGGACCGGCTTGCCCTTTATCACATCGAAATTCATGGTGTCCAAGGCCCGCTCGGCGTCCTCCAGCTGCTGGAAGTTGACAGAGGCGTAGCCCAGCGAGCGGCGGGTCGTCCTGTCCCTGTACACCCGGATGGAGAGGATGGGCCCGGCGGGGCTGAACTTCTCATAGAGCATGGCCTCGGTCACATCAGGGTGCAGGTCCCCCACATAGAGCGAAGCCAAGGAGTAGCTGGGGTCGCTGGGGTTCATGTCTGCACAAGGCGGCTGGGCAAGGAGAGGGACCAGTGCAGGAAGAGAAGGTCACCGGAATGGACAGCCCCTCAACGGCCTAGAACTCCGTGGTCGCTTCCGGTGGGGAGCGAGGCGGTGGTGCCTTAAGAACCAAGGTCCGGGTGCAAGCCTGCCTCCACATCCGGGTTCCAGACACTGGTGCCCAGTTGGTTCTGGCTGGTCTCCCATTATGGAATCCAAGTATTGGGTGCGCGGATTTGAGGATTTCTTTTCTTTTTTTAAATGGTGGAAGGGGGTGATAATAAATGTTTGTTCTGAGTTTAAATTGTACACTTTATGTGTCCTGCACTGACTTCAGGGGACGGTAAAGATGCTTTCAAGGGAGCTACTCAACTCCTGAGATGAAGAAAAAATTCAAGATCACAATGCTTCCGTGAATAATACATTTTAGTCTGTTCCAGCTCAGTCTAGAAAGTTGATAACAGATGATACAAACAGACAGGCATGCAAACACACACACAGGAGGTGGGGCCGAAGAAAAATCCCCTTGGAGGTAGTTTTCCATTCATATTGCAAAAGAAAAGTTTCAATACAAATGTTCTTGAGAGCTTAGAAATTAATCAGAGGGGAGGTGGGGGAAGAACTTGGAAGAGAGGAGGAAAGGGAAACTGATACAAATAACAATAATAATAATAATAATAATAAATCATTTTTAAAAGAAATTAATCAAACCGAAAGTCCCCATCCAGGTCATTGCAGCACGCTAAAGCAAATTATCATAGAGTAAAAACCAACGCTTGGGAGTCCTATATCAAGGTGTTAGTAGAGTGTGTTCAGTGTGTGTTTGTGGGGTGGGTGTGGCTCTGTGTGGGGATGGGGGTGGGGAGTGTGGGGGTGTGGGGAGTATGGGGGATTTCTCTTGAATGTAGATGGCACCCCCACTATAAACTCAAATGTTAGGAAGGAGGCTTTCTGGAGGCTGTTGAGGAAGACAATATTCGTCCAAAGGCCATAACCTCATTGATTAGATTTCAGTATATAAATTTTGAGGGGAAAAAACATTTAGAACAGTGATATCATTCAGTTTGGCTGCTTTGATGTGGTTTTTTAAGAATATGACAAGAAGTGGTCTCCTGTTTAAGTGTTTCACATTAGGGCCATCAAACTATGAATATAATATACCATAGGCTCAAACTTCATACTTCAGTCTAATTAAAAAAACTCATAATTTAGAGAGCAATGAATCGACTCTCTGTTGGCATATACTTTATTCCAGATGCAACTAATTAGTAATAGGAAGATAGTGAGTGGCTTGGGGATGTTTATGTTATGTGGTAGGGAGGTATAGCTAATAAGCTACCAAGGGCATAGCTCCGGGAGACGGGAGGATGTGTGAAGAGCATCCCTCCTCATGCTAAGTACCTCCCTGGCCCCTTAGTGGGATCATTTATTATTATCATCAGTGCATTTGTGTGTTAGTAGACAATGTTTACACTTCCCAAAATACTTTATATGCACAATGGCATGAAATGTCTTCAATGCCACCAGTAACACCACGTTTCTTTACAAGAAACTGAATTTCTGAGAAGCCAAGGTACTCAAAGAAGTACCACTTTTGTTTGACAAATATAAATTATGACTTACTGTTTCATAACCCTTGATGATCTTTGCTTGAATGTACATTTTGTTGCAAATTCAATTAATCAGAAATTGGAATCTCTCAAAAGTTACTAAAGTACTATAAAAAGTATAAAGTTAATATGTTAAATTATATTCTCCATTTCACCAATATCAGCTGTTTCGGGGCTCTTCACTGCCCCTCCCTCTTTCTCTGTGACATTGAAGAAGGTACTCGGGTCCTGGTGCTTGCTGGGCAGCTGCAATGTCCATCACTGAGCCACACCCCCAGCCCTTAATTATCAGGCTTTTTCACAGCGGGTATCTCATATATGTTTCAGAAGCTCTGGTTCTATGTGATCAAATTTGCAATTGTAAAACTCTTGTTGGCTATAATCTATTAGAACCAAGTTGATCTACAGATGCTGTCTATGTAGTTACTTTGTCTTCTAAACTGTGTTCTTTTGGGAATTTCCTTCTATAACATGGACCTAACTCAGCCCAGACATCAAAGCCTGTGAAATCCCTGAGGGAATAAAGAATCTACACACAAAGAATTGAAACCAATTGTCACCAAAGGAAGGATCAGAGACCAACCTAGGCTAAGAACAAGCTGCCATATAGAATTCATAAGCCAAGTTTCTCTTCTAATGAACAACAAAAAAGTATCTTGGCTCTTACAGAGAAAGAACTAAAAACAAATCCCAACAAAGCCCCTCACAAGGCCCAACATGTGTTTCACATGCTCCATATGCTCCCTGTGCCTGGATTCTGCATAGTCCGTGTACTCAAGGTGCTCATGTATTCCTCGTGTCTCTCTAGCTGGAGCTGTAGGGAGTCCTGTTGCTTCCATTTTAAAAACTTTCATCTTACAGACTGAGAATCTGAAAAATCCCAAGCAAGCCAGCAACATCACCTCTTCTAAAATTTCTAAGTGATAAACCGAAGACATTTAGTATGTTGTTTTAGCTAGTTGTCTTTTTGAAAAGAAAATAAAATGACTGCATGCAGACAATTACAGTCAAATTAAGGGAGACAGGTATTATATTATTTAAATGTGCAATTTAAAACCACATATTGAGAGTTACGGCCCATTAATGTAAATTATTTCACAGTGAAAAATATCTAATTATCTCTTCCAGATAAGAAATACAAATGTAAATGCTTCAACCCCATCATAATAACCTGCAGGGTGAAGGGCTGTACAATTAGATGCTAAGAATGCACACAAAGTTGAATTGTCTGTGATCTGCTTGTGCGTCTCTGGCATGCTGTTTCTTGTTGCTTTTCTTACAAAACAAGGTAAGAAAAATGTATTAGCTCTTACTGTATTGGAATTGCATTTTTATATAAGAAATTATTTGGTGTAGTAAGTGATGACAGTGACTTATAAAAATACTTAGCTTTTATGGTTCTCAGTAAAACACATCTGTTCAAGTTAGTGTACATAAATCAATGCCAAGGGCATTTCACCTACAGATTCTAGTCAGAACTACTAACCTATAGTCAAATGCAATTCATTGGTTTGGCCTGTATTCATGTCTGTGGGGAACTGTCTTAATTAAGTTAATTACATGGAACAATCAGGTCCACTGCAGGTAGCACCACTCCCTAGGTCCTGAGCTGTAAAAGAGTAAAGAAACTGAGTTGAGCAGAAGCAAGGGAGTGAGCACATATACATCCATTTCTTTATGCCCTGACTACAGATGTGATGTGACTGACTCCATGAAGTTCTTGTTATTGATCCACCATAATAATAAACTGTAATCTGGAACTATAAGCTGGAACAAACCATTTCTCCTCTAAGTTCCATTTCATTAAGATGTTTTATTAGAACATCAGAAATGAAACTAGAGTACAATAGCTTTATCAGGAGATAAGGGATGTTATCAGGAGAATAGAATAATTCTTTCCAAATAAGAAATTATTTCGCTCACCCTTCCCTTCAGTCTAGGGTTAATTATTCCACAATAACTAATTGAACACCATAAAATCAACCTTGATGTGCTTTAGAATTTTCCATTGGCTTCATTTTAATACAAAGGCTCTGGATTTATTTGGCAGGACCATACTACTTCATACATGATTAAATTACTAGAGGTCCTTCTGATAGCAAGAAGAATGGTGCCTTAGGATAAGTACCTTTTAAAGACCGAGGAGAGAAAATACCACCTCACACTTTATCCATATATCTAAACCCAACATCAAAGTCATATCCAATGGCCCCATGACAACTAGAACGTACTGGGGAATGGGATGGCAGCTCAAGACATTGGTAATTTGGTAATGATATCACTGCCACTCATACTTTTGGCTAGAGTTCATGGTGCTAGAAGATGTTATACTTACTACTGGAGGAGAAAGTCATCAGCCTTACCCAGCTATGACCCTGAGAGTTACAACGATGGCCTTCCTGGAAGATATGCCAACTCATGCAATAAGGCCAAGAATTGTTAAGATTAACCATACTTTTTGATTAGATTTAAGGACAGCTCCACTGTCCTTAAACGGGATCCATATCTGACACCATCAATGAGGCTAGATAGATCATGGACCCTAGTGGAAAAACTGCCTGCCGTTATTCTGCTAAATAGAAATATCAGTACAACAACCCCTCATGACAGACTGTTACACCCATCGAGCACCACATCACTCGACCCTCATCAGAGAAGCTGCATCTTGCAGTAAATGGCAATTAAGATGAAACTCACAACTGGACAGCATACAGAGGATAAAAGATCTTGGAATATTCAGCCTTAAATGGGATGCCTGCATCACACACCTCCCTGAGGCTCCAGGGTGTATGCAGAAGTGGTAGAAAGATTGCAGGAGTCAGAAGATGACGTCAAAGAAGCAGCATTTTTTTCAGACACAACAAGGCAGACGCACATATGTTAAATCACAGGGATGGTGACAGCCACACAAGACCTGCACAAACTCACACCAGACAAAGCCTCAGCCTGGAAGACGGGAAGTAGGCATGAAGCTCCACCACCAGATAAGGAGATAGTGGGCTGGGATTGCTGCTGGGAGAACAAACTTTCTTCAGTGGAGTGATATCTAGGGTATCAACCACACTCCAGAGCATGTCTCATGCTCAGGAATAGTCACCTAACAGAAACTTCACTCCATGTCTGTCTGTTCGGAGAGGGAGAGTGATAAGACATGAAGTCTGCCGGGTAGGGAGGTGAGAAGACTAGGAGAAGTTGGGAGAGGGAGATGAATATGAACAAAATATATGAAATTCGCAAAGAGTAAACAAAACGCTATTTAAAAAAAACCTACAATGATAAGTGTTGGGGGGTTCTTTATTTTAAGTTCCCATGGGCTCATATTGGGAAGCTGGCTGTCTGACTATTGAGTGGATTGTCTGCTATGACCTTACCTGACCCGGACCTGACCCATCCTAACTCAGGGAATGCAGGAGTGGCCTCTTAGAGCGTGGGTGTAAGCCCGCACTTTGGAGGCACAGTATCCACAGTAAGGCTGCTGCTGGGTGGC